ACCAACTGGTGCCAAAGACAACAAGGTAGAATTAAGGAATTCTGAGCCCAAGGAATTGTTTCAAGTACCAAAACCCCAACTGCACTCACAGTCCTTCCACAAAAATAAAAGCACACCCGTTTTCCCACCCCCCAATCACCAGCTTATTTAGGGGGGCTCTTTTGTTGCTGTTAACTGTTGAACAAATGGGCGTAAGAAATCCTTGCCAATGTACTTAAGATACTGATCTACCTTCTATTCACCCCTAAAGCAGGTGACTAGAGGTGAACAGAAGACTGGGAAAGGTGAGGCTTAAACCCTAGCAGAAGTATGCTCAGAAATTATCACCACCTTCCCCTGAACCTGCAGCTGATCTGTAAATGATACAGGGACACATCCTGTATCCTGCAAAAGTGTGAATAGTCAGACAACAGAAAAAAAATTAAAACAACACTGCTACCTCATCTCATCCTCTTCTGCATTGCAGACTAAACAGTCTTGATGCTTTTACTTCCCCTTTATACAGACACCCACTCAGAAGCTTTTCATCAAAATTTCCAGGCCTCTCTTTTATCTAAGCTCAGCTGTCTGACCAAGAGCCCAGTCATAGCAGAGGGTAATAGCTGGAGGCGGCCTGACTAAGGTGGACACATGGGAACAGGTGCTCCTGCACCTTTAATAGCTGGGTCCCGGCATTTAATGTATGACAAGCCGAAACTCCCATTTCCACGCAACAAAAAAAAGGTGCAGCAGCCCTCTCCTGTTTTGAACCTGGGCCTCCTAATCTTGTCCTAGACTAAGGAGACAAAGTCATGCACTTCACTTCACTTGACATGTGTGGGCCTTAGGTACGTCCCTCTCCCATTGCTGCCTAAAAACTAACAGCACAAATGACTATTAAATATTATCATTTAATGTATTTGCATCCTGCCTTTTCCCCAAGACGAGGTTCAATGTGGCTCGCAAAAAGAGCATTATAAAATACCATATATATCAGTAGCGGCACCAAATTAAAGTTGAATGACAATAAATTTGTGATATTCAAAAAGAGCGAAACACAAGGCAAAAGGAGAAGACTAAATCGGCATTCAAAGCAATTGCTATCACCTATTAGGGTTCACAGGGAAGTGGGTGGCGCTGTGGGTTAAACCACAGAGCCTAGGACTTGCCGATCAGAAGGTCGGTGGTTCGAATCCCCGTGACGGGGTGAGCTCCCGTTGCTCGGTCCCTGCTCCTGCCAACCTTTCGAAAGCACATCAAAGTGCAAGTAGATAAATAGGTACCACTCCAGCGGGAAGGTAAACGGCGTTTCTGTGTGCTGCTCTGGTTCGCCAGAAGCGGCTTAGTCATGCTGGCCACATGACCCAGAAGCTGTACACTGGCTCCCTCGGCCTATAGAGTGAGATGAGCGCCGCAACCCCAGAGTCGTCCGTAACTGGACCTAACAGTCAGGAGTCCCTTTACCTTTACCTATTAGGGTTCACACCCAGCACGATTCAACGCATGTCTACTCAGAAGTAAGCTCCACTGGCTTTAGTGGGACTTAAAGAGTGCAAGCCTATACATGTTTACTCAGAAGTAAGTTCCTGTATGCTCAGCGGGTCTTTGTCCCAGGTAAGTGCTGTGTGGTCCAGAAGCTTTAATCCAAAATGCTGAGGGTCTTGGTAGACCACTTAATGATTTTTCCTCCTGTTGCAGCAACCTTAATTCACTGTGCTAGATGCTGTATGATTTGCAATTGCATTTGTATTGCTTTTTAATTTTTCATATCGCCTTACAATTTGCATTCCACAGATCTGCGATGCAATAAAACCCAAGGTAAAGAAAAGAAGAAGAAATGAAAATACTATTAAAAACCAACATGAGCATTTCATGCAGGCATGCCACAGACCACCTGAATGAAGCTCATGGACTACTTCTGGTCCACGGACCACTTTAGGAACTCCCGTTTTAACCTCTGGTAATTGTCTTTATTTCATTTATTGCACTTGCAGCTTTCTTGCATAAAATGCATTCAAGGAAGCTTATAATAACAATACAAAACATAGCGTAGCCGACATCGGAACCCAGCAGGTTAAGAAATGAATAGTTCACATAGAGACAATCAATTTCAGCCACGCTAAGCACTTACTTCCTGCCTTTCTCCCACACTCTCAGCAGCCCACAGGAAGCTCCCAGGTGGCTTTCCATCCAGGCTCCTACCTCAGGTGTCTTTGGACCATAGCCCTGGGGCGGCTGAGCTCTGCTCTTATTCAGGCTGCCCAGCTGAGGACTCCAGAATGACACTTCCAACAAAAGTGGCAGCCTGCTGTGGGGTACGAGTCACGGCTATTACGAGCCAGCTGCATCCTGCGCAGCTGCCAATCAGCTCTCCTTAAGGAAGTAGGAAGAGGCTGCTGGTCAGCAGTTGCTTCCGCTCCGTGTTCTTGCCTGTTTCTTAAATTGCTCTTTTGTTTATCTTGGTCCCTGTTCATATCATACGTTTTAAGCATGGTGATGCCACTTCAAAGCGTCATGGCGTCCCCCAAGGAATTCTGGGAGCTGTAGTCTGCTAAGGGTGCTGAGGGTTGTTAGGAGAGCCCTATTCCCCTTGCAGCAGGCATCCCCAACCTTCGCCCTCCAGATGTTTTGGGACTACAATTCCCATCATCCCTAGCTAACAGGACCAATGGTCAGGGATGATGGGAATTGTAGTCCCAAAACATCTGGAGGGCAGAGTTTGGGGGTGCCTGGTTAAATCACTCTGAGAATGTCTCCTAACAGCTCTTCGCAGACTACAGTACTAGAAGGGTAGCCAGTGCAGACCTTTTAACAATGGTGTCACATATTGTCAACCAAATGCCCCCATCAGCAGTCTGGCTATAGCACTGTGCACCAGCTGGAGCTTCCAAAACAGGCTCAAGGCCAGATCTACATAGAATGAATTGCAGTAATCCAGTTTTGAGGTTACCACCACATGAACTATGGTGGTCAGGCCATGCGCAGCTTCTCTTATTCTGTACTTGTACAGAATGGTGGTATTCAAATGATCCTTCACACCATAGTTTAAAAGAATCAGGAGCAATTATCATGGCCCACGTGCCCCCTTCTCCCTCCTTCACATGCACAGCTTAATGTGTTGTTTCCTGTTTAGCTCAAACTACCATGGTTTGATCAAACCAAAGTTTGCAACATTCAAACACCACAGCAAACTATGGTTTAATCAAAACAAGAAAGCAGGGGGTGCTGGCATGGAGCTCATTCTCAGTCATCCAAACCATGGTTTACCAGACGACCAGGAGGAAGCCACCAGAATTCCTTTTCTTTTGCTACCCAACAGCAGCACAACCATGTTACAAACAGAGTTCCAATACGGATGATGTCACCATCAAGGGGACAGTAGAGTTCAACCAGAAACACCCAATTAGGCTTTGAACACCAGGATCTCTACAGTCAAGGTACAACGAGGAGTGTGGGTGTCCGATTAGTCACCAAGAATTACGAGAGGATAGTGATTTGTTCTCCAGAATGGCAGGAACTTTCTTCACCTGCAAAAACTCGACATGCGGCCATGCAATTTTTGGTCACCTCTGCACAGTGGGCTGCATGCACGTTATACATCTCAGAGCAAACTTACCTGAGTCCTATAGGCAAGTTCTGGCAGGAGTCCACAATCGATGCAAGGGCAGCAGTTGAAAGTCTGCTGGTAAATAGCTTAGAGCTGCAGCCAGAAATGAGTGGGATACCTGGGGTTCAGGCAACCTTTAGGAAAGAAAACAGGGGGTGGGAGGGTTGGTTGGTAAACTTAATCTCCTACTGGTCAGTATACAATGTGCATAAACCTCCCTCCTACGAAGAAAGCAAAAACCACACTTGTCTAGGTTTGCTAGGTTGCAATCCAGCGATGTAAAAAATTCTGAGCTTGCATGATGCAGTCGTGGCTGCTCCTGCCACCCCTAATGCTAATACTAATACTACTACTAATAATAAATTTTATTTATACCCCGCCCTCCCCGGCCAGAGCCGGGCTCAGGGCAGCTAACACCATTAAAATTACAGTAAAAACGTATTTATGTTTTTTGTTTTTTTAAAAAAACAATTTAAAATACAGTGGTACCTCGGGTTACATACACTTCAGGTTACAGACTCCGCTAACCCAGAAATAGTACCTCGGGTTAAGAACTTTGCTTCAGGATGAGAACAGAAATCGTGTTCCAGCGGCAAGACGGCAGCAGGAGGCCCCATTAGCTAAAGTGGTGCTTCAGGTTAAGAACAGTTTCAGGTTAAGTACGGACCTCTGGAACGAATTAAGTACCGTATTTTTTGCTCTATAAGACTCACCTTTCCCCTCCTAAAAAGTAAGGGGAAATGTCTGTGCGTCTTATGGAGCGAATGCAGGCTGCGCAGCTATCCCAGAAGCCCGAACAGCAAGAGGGATCGCTGCTTTCGCTGCTCAGCGATCCCTCTTGTTGTTCTGGCTTCTGAGATTCAGAATTTTTTTTTTCTTGTTTTCCTCCTCCAAAAACTAGGTGCGTCTTGTGGTCTGGTGCGTCTTATAGAGCGAAAAATACAGTACTTAACCTGAGGTACCACTGTACAGGTTAAAATGCAATTTAAAATGCAGCCTCATTTTAAAAGTAGCCTATAGATCAAAACCATACATTGCCCAACACCAGGGCCAACCCGCCCATGAGGCAGACTGAGGCAGCCGCCTCAGGAAGCAGAATCCAAGGGGCACTTCTGTGCCCCACCTCCCAAAAAGTGAAGAAGAGAAGCAGCTTCAGTGGCTTCAACTAAGTGAGGCTTCAGTGGGGCGTGGTACCTTCTCATTTCACCTCAGGAGTCCAAACGGAACAAGCCACTCCTGCCCAACACCCACTTTGATTGCCTACAAATGGGGCAATTCTTATTCTGGGCCAAGAGCATCATCCAGAGTCTTGCCCTCCCTGGCCTCTGGTCCACGGCTTGCTCCTCAGTAGTACAGCATGGAATCGTGACCCCTTTTACTTACCATCTGGACTGCCTGGGCTTCATTTCTCTTCTCAGTCAATGCACCTCAAGCTGTAAAGAAAACACAACGAGAATGTCTCATCCCAAGCAAAGCAAATGCAAGTAACCTTGGGCCTATATATTTCTTTAGATGCATGGGACATTAAGAGTTTGTACTACTGTACTCTCCAAACAGTTGACTAGTTGTGTTAAAAAAGCTCAGGGATGGAGAAGCACGGGCTGCTTTATCATTGATTGGTATCCTTTTATTCAACACATGACAACAACTGGTGTCAATAGAAAGCCGCCTCGCTCCCTGCCAAAACAGAAAAAAATGGTCAGCTGGAGCTAGATCTAATACCAGACTGATCCTTCCCTTTACAATAATTCTTTTGTCCTCTATGTCTCATCAGAAGATGCTTGTTTATGATGCAATATTGTCTTCTTCCTGAATTCGTTCTGCACTCTCTTCCGCTTTGTTTTTTTTTAATACGATGATCTTTATTGCCGTTGTCCCATACAGAATGAAATTGAAAAAATCTACATCATACGTTCAAAAACCAACAAGCCTGCTATCCCAGCCTAGTTAACCCCCTAAAAACTCTGATACCCCATCATTAAATACAATATACTCCCACAGAGACTACCTTACACTGCGTTTAAAACCAAAATCGCATTTGGATAGAAACTGTTTCTCAGGTGGCTAGTCCTAGTCTTTATAACCCTGTACCTTCTTCCAGAAGGCAGAAGCTGAAAGAGATCATTTCCAGGGTGCGTACTATCCTGCACTATCTCTGCAGCTTTCTTATGACTCCTGGAAGCATAGATTTGATCCAAGGTGGGAAGAGTGCACCCAGTTATTCTCTCCACAGTCTTTACAACCTTGGACAGCACTGTTTTTCCCCTGAGCGTGCAGCTCCCAAACCGCACACACAGACCATAAGTTAATACACTCTCAACAGTACAATGTTATATGTAATATAATTTAGAATTCGATAAAAAAATTTAGAAACGTTGGGCCTAAATGTAGGAACTTGTTCTTTCCATATGTGTGCTTAGGGCATGATGGGGCGGTGGCAACACTCATCACAACCTGAGTCCTTGGAAAGGTGGGGGGGGGGGGACTGTAATAAATAAATGAAGGACCACACACCTTCCGTCAATGCAGTACTGCAGCATAATATTGACTCCGAAACAGGAACATAAGCTTTCAGGAGCGATCAACCATATTCACAGAATATGGACCTCTCAATCATCAAGCAAATGAACAGCAGTGGATGGCCAGATGGGGCATTGGCACTGACCTGACCTCCCTTTGCCTGCATCACTGCAGCCAGGGCAGAGAATGGAAGGTTGGCACAGTGCAAACACACCAGCAGAACCAATATGATGTTCCCTCTGGTGCATTTGCATTCCACCAACCTCACCCCTTTCCCTCTCTGTTTTGTTACACAGCAGTGACACAGGCAACTAGAGGTCAGGTGAACGCCACAACGCCACTCCACAGTCCTCTACTGCAAATTCTTAATGGACGCACACTAAGAATTGCTGGATGCTAGGAACGAATAGTAGGGTGATGCGATAATGAATTAATGAATGGCCAACCAAGGACCCCATGCACACACATGCGGGCATACATACACCTTACATCAGAGCAACGTTGTGATCCCAGAACATGAATATTAACCGTAAAACAGAAGAAGAGCACAACATATAACTAACTTATAAAATTTATGGCCGCAGGTTATGGCGATGACTCAGATAGCTTTAAAATGTGCCAGACAAAGTAATGCAGAAGAGGCCTGCTGGTGGCTTGTAAATAAGTTCACCCAAGTTACTAGCCTGCAAAGACATTTACTAGCCTGCATTTCCATGTTAAGAGTAGCAGCCAAAGTAAGAATACAGGCTGCTAGCCCCTTAGCAGACTTGTAAAAGAGGAAAGGGGCAGGGGAGACAAAAATGTTTCCACCCAGGAGAGAAAGAGTGATCCACCCCTCCTCCACAAGTTCTGCTGGTCATTATGGGCTCTGTGGCTGGCACAGAGGAGGAGGAGGATAGGCTTTCTGGTCCCCCCACTACCACCCACTCAACTACCTTGAATTCCTGGTTGCCTTGGTTTCCCAGTTGTTAAATACACAGCTGCAAAAAGTAATTCAATTTGTCATCATTGCCAATGGGTCCTCCAAGTTCAGGGACAATATGCCTCTGAGCAGCACATACTAGGGACCAACAGCAGGGGACATGCTGGGTTTGTATTTATAGGGGTGCAGCTGAGGCTCCAATACTTTGGCCACCTCATGAGAAGAGAAGACTCCCTGGAAAAGACCCTGATGTTGGGAAAGATGGAGGGCACAAGGAGAAGGGGACGACAGAGGACGAGATGGTGGGACAGTGTTCTTGAAGCTACCAGCATGAGTCTGACCAAACTGCGGGAGGCAGTGGAAGACAGGAGTGCCTGGTATGCTCTGGTCCATGGGGTCACAAAGAGTCGGACACGACTAAACGACTAAACAACAACAGCTCATCAACAGCATACCCTACAAAATCCAGGTG